GGGAATTGTCAATCTGTTATATATTTAAATGCGAGCTTCACTGTCTCGCCATGGTTACGCTTTTTCAAGGTATTATTTTAGCAAGAATTTTTGCACGTTTAGGCTATATCGTATCGTATATTGCAATAGTTAAATTTTTTTTTCGATTTTCTAGTTAAAATTCAATGTTTATTGCACCAAGTTTGGAAATAGCAACTCAATAGTGGGATGCTTTTAGGGTTTTCCCAGTTGTTGCGAGTCTGGTCGCCATATATGAATAACCAAAGCCTTTTAGTTACGAGAAAAGGCAATTTTCGAGATTTTTCAAAGGTTTCTAGAAAAATTAATTAAATTTTTTTAAAAACTAATTCTCAAACCTGTAATTGGGTAATATCGGGTTACTCTTAGGGGTTGCAAATCTTGCCTCCAAATCTCACCTCTCAAATCTCTGTAGTTTTCGAGATATGACGTTTTTTATGATTTTTTAAAAAAAATTCAAAAAAAACGTAGTGTTCAAAATATTGCAAAACTTTGAAGATCTCAATCCTGTTGTTGGAAATTGTGAGGGTGCGCTCAGGGGTTGCGAATCTTGCCTCTGAATATGACTGCTCAAATCCTTGTAGTTTCCCGAGATATGACGTTTAGGAATTTTTCAAAATAACTTTTTTCTAAGAACTTAGATATAAAGAAATTACACAAAATTTGAAGTTTCTATCTTTAAAGTGAGGGTCATCCAGGGTACTCTCAGGAGTTGCGATCTTTGCCTCCAAATTTGACTGCTAAAAACTGTGTAGTTTTTCAGATATGACGTTTTTTGTGGTTTTTTCAAAAATTTTCAGAAAAATAACTTTATTTTGTCCTTAAAAATTGGAAGTTCCCAAATCTGTAATGGGTCTGTCAGAGTTTTCTCAGGGGTTGCGAATTTGGCCTCTAAATATGAGAGCTCAAATCTTGTTAGTTTCCAGATCCGACGTTTTTTTGTGGTTTTTTCAAAAAAAAAATTCGAAAACTTAAATTAAAACTCTTTTTTCAAAATTAGAAATTCCGAACCCTATAGTTGGGGGCTGTCAGAGTAGCTTCGGAGTTTTCGAATCTTGCCTTAAATAATGACTGCTCAAATATTGGTAGTTTTCGATATGTCCTGTTTTTTTCTGATTTTCAAAAAAGTATATTTTTTAGAAAATGTCAGTTTGAAGTTTCTCAAAATTTGAATTTTCCAACGCTGTAGTTAGGTACTGCAAGAGTACTCACAGGAGTTGTAAATCTTGCGTCCAAATGCGATTGCTCAATTGCTTTTAGTTTCCGAGATTTGAAGTTTCTTAGCTCATTTCAAAGAACTTTTTCGAAGAACTTAAGTATAGCTTCGGAAAATGTTTTTTTTTTTTCAAAATTTAAATAAAAAACTTGAATTAAAACTTCTGCAATTTATGTAAGTATGAACCCTGTAGTTGGGTGCTGTCAGAATACACTTAAAGGATGGAGATCTTATTTCCAATATATGCGGTTTTTTATGAAATGTTTAAAATTCGAAGCTTCGGATAAGCGTTAGACGCTAGTTTTCATGATAATTATATGTGGTCAGTTGAATGTGTACGGTCGAGAATCGCAGAAGTTTTTGATCATTTTAAGGACTATGCTTCAAGTTTCTTGAGGTTTTTGTTTGGCTGGTCTTAAACAGGAGATTTCTCTATTTTGTCATAATAGTTTTTTGTCCTATTATTTTCGCTGGCTTAACATTAAAGTTTTACATGTTTAAGCAATGGATTATCTGGCTGTGCTTTATTTTGCATGTTTATATTGGATATATTTCAGAAGTAATCGGCTCTGACTACATGATTATGACAACAGTATTGTTTTCGGCTCAACAAGTTTCGACCCAAAGTTTGTCGCCTTTGTTACCGCTCGGTAATTGATTTCCATTTTTATGGGCTGCTAATGAGCTTCAGCTGATACAAATCATCTGCCGTAACTTTCCAGTTTCTGTGAAGTTATTCGCAAGTGCTGCGAAGCTCTGCTTTGCCTCTGTGTTATAGTGTTGCAAATTCAGACGGACATTATGAGACTCGCAAGACTATTAGGTTTCGAGATATGAATATTTTAGTAAAATATTTCCAGAACTTCCGTAATACAATAAATCTGTTCTTTTCGGAACATTTTGGGTTGTTATGTTTTTTTTCATGTATCTCTCGGTTATTATAACTATTTATAGGGCTACAAGTTGGAACTCAAATTGCTAGAACTCTCAGTTTTAGGAGTTTCCAAGATATGGATGTATTATTTCTAACAATTTTCTCAGTTATACATTAAACATCATGTTACTTCGAGTTTTGGCTGAAATATTGAGCTATCTAGGCTTTTCAGTTTTCGAGTTATGGATGCTTTTGTGGCTCTTGGGATTATAAAGGGTTTGGCAGTCGGGTACTACACTTCACCCGGTAAGTTACTTTGTTCACAGAATCCTCAATTTAGTAGGAATGGTAAACATGCACAATTTCTTGAAAATTGAAAAAACTACCATAGTTTTGATTAGGTGGAGTCTGTTTTCAGACAGTAATCTTTTCAACTAAATTACCTGAAAAAGTGTTTTCACTTTGGATTAATTGTTTCCATCTCATTTTCTGTTCACTAGCTGCTAAGTCTCCACTTGTGTTGTATCGCATTTGATGCGGTCTGCTTGGCCTCTGTGTTTCATTTTTGTAGTCTTTTTTTTCTATTTTTGTACTAAAAATTTAGTGCTTTTAACATTTTTTATGAGCATGGATAAATGCTGTGCTTTTCAATTTTTTTTTGTCTATCGGCTCTTTTCCAGTTTCCCACCCCCTTAGTAGAAAAGCAAAACAAAGCTGATCAAAAATTGTTCACATGACATTTTGCATGTTTTTAATCTTGTGTAAATTTGTTCACCTTTTCATGCTGACACGTTTTAATGCTTTTTTCAAAATGAAAAGTAATTTTCTATAGACTTTCCTTTAATGAATTTCAGAAAAAATCAAAGGGGGGGGGACTGGAAAAGAGCCCTATTATCATACCCGCGCCCAGCGTTACCGGTGGGCAAATGCCTACTACTCAGTTTTGATTTCTAAGTTTATTTCTTTGTTTAGTAATGCATAATTTTAAGTTTTTTGGGGCCTATCTGGTTATTAAAAGCAAATGGCAACGAAATTTTGACATAAACATGAGCATTGTCGTTTTCCATGTCAATTATCTGTGGCCAGACGAATGTATCCGGTCAAAAACCATAGTAGTTTTTGATCACTATAAGTACAATGCTTCAAGTTTTTTGAAGGTTTTATTTAGCTTGTAATAAACAGCCTAATTCGCTTTTTTAGTGTTATTAATCAAATAATTCCGCCGACTTAACATAAGAGTTTTGCATGTTTAAGCAATGGCCTATTTCGCCGTGCTTTAGTTTTCATCTTTTCATCTACTATTATTAATTAAGGCATATATGACTATTGCGAAACATACCTGTTTTTATAACTCTGTATATTGTATATAGTGCTGCAACTCAGACTGACTCTATGAGACTCGCTAGATTATAAGTTTTCGAGATATTGATGTTTTAGTAAAATATATCCAGCATTCGCTTACGATAAATCATTTCATTTCGAAACTTTTCTGGGTTATGTTTTTGTTTTTTTCTTGGGTTATGTACTTCCCGGTTTCTAGAACCATGTATAGGGCCACAAATTTGAACTGAAATTGCGAAGGCTCTCAAAATTTCTAGTTTCATAGATATGGATGTATCTCTAAAAGTTTTCCAATATTTCAATTTATACATCAAATTATTCCGAGTTTGGCTGAAATAATGAGCTTCCCAAGCCTTCCAGTTTTCGCGTTATGGATATTTTTGCGACCCTTGCGATCAGTAAGGCTATTGCAGTCGGGTACTAACTTTTTCCCCTGAAAATTTTTTTTTTCATAGTATGTTGATCTTAGTAGGAATGGTGTATTCTCATGCTCATATTCTTAGAATTTTAAATAGTTTTCTTAAATCAACAGTTTCTTTGGTTTGTTTCCTAAGCCTTGATTTTACTTTGAATTAAACCGTTTTTTAGTAAAATTGCGAGTTTCATAATTTTTGAACATACAAGTCTGATTTTAAAAAGTGTTTATTTTTTGTTTCTTTTTTCCTTTTTTAAAATAAATTAAACGTTTTCAGCTAAAGTTATATCCGATTAGTCAATTTATATTGGGTAGTTTTATGGGCAAAATATGTTCTTATGCTTTTTTATGCGTGTCAATACGGATAAGTCATAAAAATTTTTAAAATTTAGTAGCTTGAAATTTTTCTGGACACTAGTTTTGTGTTCGGCTGAACAGGGTTCGACCCAGTTTTGTTCGGCTTAATTGCCCTTCGGTAATTTATTCCAAATACTTTTTAAGACTGTCTATGAAAGATGAGCTGTCTATGAAAGAAAATCCAAGATCCATCCCTGCAAGTGTTTTTCAAGATGGGATCAGTGTTTTACTCTGTCATGTTCAAATGTACGGTTAATTATTCGAAGCAGGTGGCTTATTGTCTCAAAACCGAAAATTTTTGTAACAAATACAATGCTGATTTAAATTATCCGGACAAAAAATATAAAACTTGGAATTTCAAACGCGTTTTTTCTCTAATTAGGTTGAGTTTAGGTGGATGAATACAAAGTGCTTAAAATTTCAGCAGAATTATTATGGCGCAATTTGTTTTGCGAAATTCGGGCCAAAAACAATCACCCGAAAACACATTTTTTGGCTTTTTCAATTACTAAAAAAGGGTGCTATATTTGAGTAAAAATGACTTGTTTTGGCGATTATACCCTTCGTTATTATAACCTAGATTAAACGTTGTTTGGCTAAATCAAAAAATTTTCGATCGGATTTTGGCGAGTTCATAAACTCAGCTGTCGCTTGTTCGCTCATCTGTCTGAGAACTAATCTTTCAGATACGTCTAATCATTGCTGCTGAGTTTTGAAAAAAAGTTGGTGTTTTTAAAGCACAGATTGCAACTTTGGATAGTTTTAAGTTTTTCAGATAGGTGTAAAATGGCAAAGAGTAAGTACAAGAAGAAAAAATCGACGAAGAACGACGAGCCTGAGAAATCACGTGATCTGGATACTTCAGAGAAGACAATGACATACAAGACAAGTGGCTAGTTGAGAGTTCAATTAATTTCTAGATTGCATTATATTAAATAGAACCACGTTGCCAGGTGATGTTGAGTCTTTTTGCTGGCAGAAGAGATTTATCTACTTTTAGATAATGTTTTCCAGATCAACTTTTTGCAAAAGCCGTTTTTGATAAATTGGCTTAGCTTTTTCTTCACTTAAGTCTAGCTTGAAACTTTGATCCAAAGTTATTTTTACTAGCTGGATTCGGCCTCGAACCAAAAAAAAAACAAAATATTTTTCGCAGTTTGGTGTATACGAAGTTTATTGCAGAATCATCATTAGTGGTTATACCAAACATTGTCAGTTCGAGTTTTTATATTGATGAAGCAGTATTTTGATCGTTGTTTTTTCCACCTTGAATCGTAGGCGTATCCATTGGGTTCTTGGAAAATGCAAACAAATCGGTTAAGTTCGATGTGTTTTCTTGTTTGATTTAATATCCAGTTCCAGATTTCCGTTTGCAGATAGTGTCTAGTTGTTTTCGCGGCAATTTCATTGAACGTGATAAATTAGTCTTATCCGCATGTTTGATAGATTTTTTTTACTCAGAGGACTTAATGTCGGACGAAACAATCATAGAAAAATCTCGATCTAAAAAAAATACCAAAATGATAAATAAATAAGTTTAAAAAAATTGGCTCTTTCATTTTTCCCCCACCTGCAAATTTTTACAAGTATGTTTGTTGACCACAATGTCAGATTGTTTTAAAATTTTACATAAAGACTAATTAAGCCACAATAAACTTATTTGGTCTTGATAATCAACCTCGTAAACCACTCGCTACACTTGAAATTGAAGCTCATGTGATGTGGGAAAAGAAAAAAGAGCCAAAAAGTTATAATATAAAATTAATTCCCAAAACTTTGTCAGCCCCGGTCCATCAAATTGATTTTCTGAGCTTTTCGGCTTTTATCTTAGATGGGTAACGTGTAAGTCCGACTTGTTTGAGCGCGGCAAATTAACGAATGTGCTTACGCGTTTATATCTTTTCAAATTGGTCCCAAAAGTTCTTAAACACTTTTCAATAATAATATTCTACAGCGCGAGGCTACAATTTGTCGCAAGAGACGGTTGGTCGCAAGCGACTATTCGCAGCGTTTTTAAATGGCATTTCGCACCAAGCGTCATTTTGTAGCTAGCGACAATTAGCAGCACGATTAATTGCTAATTGGTGGATTAAAAATGATGTGAATTGAGCAAAATGTTTTGCGGTGTTTTGGAGGGAAATAACATTCAACGAGCGATCGAAATTTTCAACTTAGCACTAGTTTTGAATTGAATACCAAATTGAAATGAATTAGAAAGAGTAGTTAAACGTTAGGAGCATCTAAAACTCCTTTATTTCAGTTCATTAGTTTCATTTTCTTCTGGCAAATCATTACACTTACTGATCCCAATATGCGCTTAAATTTTGTCTTGAGTGAGCGAGGAAAACAGCATCTTGTCCACGATGGAGAATTTTTGAATCTAAACCGCCACAACAAAATAACTGATAAATCCAGCTGGCTATGTGTGAAGAGGCCGTGTAATGCGTCTGTTGCCACCATCGCAGATGAATTAGTCAGCTCGTCTGGAATACATGGTCACGAAAATATTCCATGCGAGGAAGAAGTAAAAAGTTAGTAAATAGCTCAAAATTTTTGACACGTGCGCGAACTTAACTTTCACAATTAAGAATTTTTCTAGTTTTAATTTGTTTTAAAGCGTTAAATTAGCACTACTGCAAGGCGTGCTTTTCTGTTGGGGAAACTGACCACACCCAGTTGAAAAAAAAAGTATAATCTCTCAAACATGCTAGTTTTTTAAAGACCAGGGGTGTTTTTTTTTGGGGGGGGGGGGGGGGTCAAACATTTTTTCTTCGCCTGTTATTAAGTTTCAGGGTTAAACTTGCGATCAAACCAAAGGGAAAAAGAACATTGGAGCCTCCCGGTATCATTGACGTGGAAAACGCTGGGGACATGCCTCGAAACTGTTGTTAGTTTTTTTAAGTACAAGTCCCTCGCCAGAAATGTTCAGCGACAACGAGCAACTAATTCCGCCCTCCCCACTCAATTAAAGAGATTGCCGTGCGTTTGGAGTTGAGCAGGACCCTGAGGGGGGATAATTTCCTCGTTTTTCATTCGGGGTTGGATGAAAAAGACCGAATGTTAATATTTGCCACCGACGAGAACTTAGAAACTTCGGAAAGAAACAGTCTGGCATGCAGATGGGACATTAAAGCATTTCCCGCGTTGTTTAATTAAATTTTTACAATCCATACGGCGGTTAACGATCAATCTGTTCCATTAGTTTTCTTTCTTCTCCAAAACAAAAGTGAAGAACATTACATTCGGGCCTTCAGACAGTTGAAAAAATGAACCAAGGACTTGTGGTAGATTTTAAGAAGGCTTCAATTAACGCTTTTCAGGAAGTATTCAATGAAGTAACTATAAAAGGATGATTTTTTCAGTTGACTCAAGACAATTGGCGCAAAGTTTAAGAGATTGGATTAGCACCAGTGTATCGAGAAGATGAAAAAACACGCATGCTTCTAAAGTCATTCGTTGCTTTGGCACTGATACCTGAGCTCGACTTTAAAATCGGCATGACTGCTTTGTGCTCTGAAATTTCCGACCAAAATGGCGAGTCCGCTTGATTTGATCGCGTCGATTATTTTGAATCAACTTGGGTTGGAATTATCCTCCGAGGATGCAAAGGGGTCGGGCAATTTCCTATTTCACTCTGAAACCAGTTGGAAAACGCAAAAAATGGAAGACAGAAAACCAACAATACGGTAGAGGAATAGCATATGGCCTTCCAGATTGGGATGGGGTGTGCTCACCCCTCCATTCGCAAACTTATCCACTTCCTGAGAAAAGAACTGAGTCTGTCGGAGAACAAATTCCTGAGTCTGTCGGAGAACAAATTGGCGAAATAGTTGCTAGAGGAAGTGCCGCCAAGGTGGCAAAAAAGTCAAGCCAGATCAGTTGAACTCCTTAAACATCATAGTAACAATAATATTCTCAATCAACTTGAAGGCCTCTCTTTCAATTTTGATTTTAAGTTTTTTAGTTTAACCCTTCGTTCTATTTTCTTTTGATCTGGTCAAAGCTTTTACCGCTACTAATTGTCGCTTGCTACGAGTCGTCGCGCGCTGCGAATTGTCGCTTTTTACAAATGCTACGAATGGTCGCTTGCGACGAATTGTCGCCATGCCATTTTAGAGTATTTGTGTTTCGAGCTTTCGAAGAACTTTTGATATTCGTTCTTGATGATTTTTCTTTTTCTTTGGACAATGATCGATTTATGAACTAACCACGTCGGACGTATTTTTTCTATCATGTGCAAGGTGTTAAGCTTCACCTGTTTTTTTGTCATTTTATGGGGGATATACAGAATGTCATTTTTAACATAGTGGAATAATTGGCGCGCGATTTAGTTCCTGTTGTTAATGTGTAAGCGGTGGTTTTATCCAGCTCAGAAACCATTCCAAATTGATTTCAGGCTAAATATTTAGTCTCATTGATAACAATATCAGATGCTAATTTTTGATGTCGATTTTGTGTCAAGTTATCTAAGTGAATGTTTTCGGATTTTCCTTCTCTTGCTGCTTTTTAGGGCTAGCCTGTATTTTGTCTTTTTCACTGGTGTTTGCAGCTTTGTCTCTGCGCTGAAATTTGGAATTATTGCTGAATCAGAAATCAAAGTGCAACATTCAAGGATCAGCTGAAGATCAAAATAGGAGGTTTTTTTAAGCTGAACTAAGCTATGACTTACTTGCAGATCAGAAGCCTTTTTAAACCCGCAATGACCACATGATTCTTAAACTAGCATCACTGCCACTACGTTACGGCACAATAATTAATTGCGTCTAGACTTGTACTGCGATGCTTTGACATGACATGCCTGCCGAACTTATGAAAACTTTCACTGAATTGATTTTGATTGTTTTTTTTTTGTTTTTAATCTTTCAAAGCATCTGGATGCTGTAACGGCTTAGTTTTGTTGTTTATTCGTGTGGTTCAGGAAGAGCTCCGAGACAGCAGCCGGACCTGGACGAGGAGCAGGAGCACGAGATAGAGAAGGCGTTCAGTGGGAAGTTCTTCGACGGCAAGAAGTCCCTGGATGCGACTGTGCTGCTGAGTGCGATGGACGAGACGGGAGGGGTGACGGAGAGAAATGCAAACAGACCAAACAGACTCACTGGACATCGCTTCGACACGGATGTGTTGCAGAAGCCGAACAATGTGTAAGATAGCTGCTCATTTTGTACATGTATAATGATGGATAATGCACTAAAAAAAATAGTCATTGTATAGCCTTGCGTACGAATTTAGGTAAGAAGATAAGGTAACATTCGATCATGTTCGATAAGGAGTGACCAACTGAAAAGATATTGCTCTTGTTGCTTTTTCTTTAAATATTGGCCCATTCAGTTCGATTGGTGAGTTAATGTATTTAGGACTAGTGAAAATTGAACCATTTTAGTTTAGTGAATTAACTTGATTGGCGACTTTTCAAAAGTTACAACTCTGATTTTTTAAGCCCCCCAAAGGGGCCTGTTTTATAACAAAAATAGTTTCGCAAAAGTGTTTCCTTTAAGGAAAACAGGCTTTTTCAGCTGTTTTTGTTTAAATAGGATTTTGGTTGAATAAATGATGGGGCTTATTTGACCGTTTGAAAGAAGTAGTCAGAAGGGGTTCAAAAGAAAGTTTAAGATAAGAAATGAATTTTGCGACCACAAAAAGTGAGCACTTCATTGGATGCGACATGAAACAGCTGTAAGGGAAGATTGCAGCGCTGTGTTGATTGTAGCTTTGTGAAGAAAACGGCCGAGCAGCGGTTCGACGCTTTCGTGGCTGACAAGTGCGAGAGGTACACACAGTTCTTCGGAATAATCAACCTCGTGTTCATTGTTTACGGAGTGTATGTGTTCTGCTTTGTCACCTTCTTCGAGGGGTCACAGAACTACGCCTTCATCACTGTTGAACAGACTGAGGTGCTGCTGAATAGACTCATTTGGGTGATCAGATTAACATGTTGCCTGCTAGTTCTCACTATCGTAACCCTCAAAGCATACTTCAAAAAACCAGAGCGTAAGTGCTCTAGTGTAGCGGTCACTTAAATACAATCATGAAACCAATCGAGGTGTAGAAAAAAAATTATTTAAAAAATCGATTATAATGGGTTTCTATTTTTAAGCAATAAAATCTCTATATAATCGATCATAATCGATTGTTTTTTAAAGAAAATGAAACCTGTTTTTCTAACAAAAAAAAACATTTTTATTTGATTATTGTCGCAATTTTTTTTCGATTAACGTTTCAGTATCTGTTACCAATATCAGTGTGACAAGAATTTTTTCTGTAGCAAGAAAAAGAGTTTTTTTCCAAGTTTGTGCACAGTGGATTCTGTGAAAAGAATATTTTGAAACATTTTGAAAACTAACACATTGTAAACTAACGAATTTTTCCAGGGAGAGAAGTTTGGCTGTGTGTCTATAAATTATAGAGTGAAGAACCTCTTCACTCAACATTTTACTGACTTAGAGTGTGTGTGTGTGTGTGTGTGTGTGTTTGTAGAGGCCCATAAGGACGTTCTGTTCTCGAGAACTGATCCCAGGAATCTGGAGTTGACGAGGGAGTGGGAAAAGAACGAGGCGAACAAGTTCATGTATGTGGTCATGCAACTCATAGTGTTTCTCATGGCTGTCATCTCCTTCATATACGCCCACTGCACCCAACTCATCACGGTCGGACTGCCGGCAACAGACCCCAACAGTCTATATGTTAGTTGCATTAGATAAAGCATTATTCAATTTCGAACCAATTGTAAATACAGAAAAGAGAATGCTTCACTTTTCATCTCATGATTGATATGTTATTAAAGCTACCAAAAAAATTTGGCTACAAAATACTGAAAACTGAAACTAGCAACAATCATTTCAAATCAATTTTTTATACTTCACTTTAGCCAAATCTCGAAAATACGTGCTCAGCTCCCGTGTTGACCAAAAGCCGAAATTCATGCCTTTCTTTCAGGAATATTAGGATTTCTGAGTTCGTCTTTTTAAAAGTCGATAAACGTAGTTCAGACTCATTTATAGGTCGTGAACGTTTTTTTTTTCAGAAAAATTATTAAAACTTGTTCAGGCTCTAATTTACTTTTTCGCGGTTTGACTTTTTTTTCAAGTTCACTTCATTTCCTTTGTTAAAAGGAAGGAAAACTCCTTCACCGAGCAGCGAAAGTGTAAAGGTAACGGAAAACGTGGCCGACTCCTAATTTCGAAAATGGATTTTAACTAACAGATTTCCCATCGAAATGAAAATTTTACCTATTGATCCAGTTTTTTCATCTATTTTTTTCTCCGAAATTCGAAAGTTTAGGTTATTCAAACATTTGAAAAAAATCAGAAGACAATATTTTTATCCATAGTTAAGTCTTTTTGTTACTAGCGAACTTTAGTGAGCGTTTGTGTTATACCACGAATTTTCTTTTTTTTTCTAGCCGAAGTCGCAAATATTGATGCCCATTTTAGGGCTTCTACGGCTTTTTGATAGCGTGTGCTTTGACATTCGAATTGTACTAAGTGAACACAGATGATACATTTTAAATTCATCAAATGAACCGAGAAAAGCTATTTGTTTCAAACAACATAACAATCATAAAAACTGGATTTCAGAAGTTTTCTAACTCAATACATCTCACAATTTTTTCAAGTCCATAATGATGCTTTTAGTTGGTTATATTGCAAATTACTACTTGCGAAGTTGTGTCTATTTGTAATTGGTTCCACTTTTGCTGCATCGCATCGACAATTCTTTTTAGCATATGCAGCTGCTGTATTTGTTATTCTTTTTTTTCCGGTTTTCAAGCGTTGGTGGCCGAGAGGGCAACTCGCAATTAAAAAAGCTCATTTGGTGGCTTTTTTGCTGCATAACGTTGGCAATTTACTAGCATTGTTCTAATTGGTTTATTCCGGCCTAGTTTTAGGCTATTGGCAAGGGGCCATGGCGGCGCATATGCGAGTTGAGACTCGTAATGTCCTGGTTGAATTTATGATTCCCGCACATAGCAAAATTTTTTTTCTTTTTACTTACCTTATTAACCTTTTAAGGACAAAGCGGCTATCTTTTTTTTGTAAGAAAATTTGTAAAACTATCATTTTTTTGTGTTTTGGAAAATTGATTTCAGGAAATTCACTAAAAATACTGGCCTTAAAAAGTGTTTCTAGTTTTCAAAAAATCTTTGAGATAAGCTGTAGAATTTTCCAAATTCCAAAAAAAATTAGGCTCTCGACTTCATAAAAATAGCATCTAATATAATATCTTTAGCTGTTGACTCTTCCTGGACTCACCGTTCTCCTTTTAGTCACAAAATTGGTTCAGAAAATGTGATAATTGGTAGTTTTTTACGCCTGCGATTAGCAAGCGTTATCAAACCGGAATATATACTTTATTGGGTTAACAACTAGTTTAACAGAATCACTTGAATCATTTTACTTTTGGTTCATATGAAATCAAAAGTCATATGTTAGCTTGCGAATGTGGTGAAGAGTTAATGCATCTTCCAATAAAGACGAATGTCATTTGTTCGAATCCTGCCAGGATCTGTTTTTTTTTGTAAGCGGAAAATTGTCCGCGCATCAAAAACTTATGTCGGACTTCTGTTTGCCGCCTTTTTTTAGTCAGCTTAGTTGCCGCAGCACCGAATTTGCTTAGAAATTGTGAATTTTTCTAACTCAAATTAAAAACTTAATAAAAACATTTCAGTGTATTCTGGTGTGTGGCAAATAATTTAGTTCCAATAATTTTTGCCAATTTTTTTTTGTGTTTCCATGCTTTTCATTAAAATTGGAATTTGTTATTTTTTTAATTTTAAATTTAAGGAGTATTCTGGGGATTTGGCGCTGTGGTTACAGCCAAATGCTTTAGACGACAAATCCCAGAAGTTCCATTCCATTCGGGACCTGTTTTTTGGAAACTACAAGTTTTCGAATATTTTATACTTTCGTGTCTGCTAATTTTTGTCGGCTTAGGTCCGCAGAATGGTTCAGTTTCTTTTCAGCATTTTGAAAGATTTTTAAAAATTTTATTATGGTGCAGGTAATTTTGATCCGGAAATGTTTCTCCTTTTTGCAATGCTAATAACTTTTTTGACAAAAAAAATGATTTTTGAGTTGTCTTTTCATTTGCTGGTAATCACAGTCATTCATTTTTTATCGCAAATGACGCGAAGCTTCGCCTCTGTGTAACAGATCAGAGCGGTCAGTTAGTATTTGTTTAGTCAACATTTTTCACTCGATCGTCTTCGTCAAATCTGCATATCCTATTTTCGTAGTTGGCATGTTAAAATTTTGAAAGTGATCGGAATACACAATGACGAAAGTCTCCTGCAACCCGTACTATATCTTAGCTTTGTTGTTTGTCGGAATTTAGTTTTGATTGACGTGACTTGCTGGTTCTATTAGTGGACAACTGAAGCTTGAAATTGTTAGTGCAACAGAGGTGTCAACTCAGATGCTTATATCTTCTGGCTAGTCGAATACCTGATTGTGTAGACTGAAGTCTTTTACTTCTGCTTCATATTAAGATCTTGATTTCGCAGTTTAAGTAATATCTGTGTTCAGTAGAGGAAATTCAACCGATTAAATGTTTGCGAGTACACTAAACGCTTCAGTAACGACTTCATATGATTAATTCTGGGGGAAAATGTAATATATTTAAAATGTTCAAAATTAATGACCATTGTAATTGTGATGAAGGTATTAGTTGTAGGAAAATGTCACGAATCAATCAATTTAGTGGATGAAACTTTGCAAGGACGTAGGATGGGACCAAGTTAGTCTGGAGCATCAAATAATCGAGAAATCGATGGAGCCATTCACTCGACAAGGATGTATAAGGGGAGAGTTAATTTAATCACATCAGCTGTGAAAGACAATTCACCCAGTCCGCTACTTGGATAGTATATCTAACATCATGCGCAAGAGGGCAGTTTGTAACAATCTGGATACAAAAAAGATGCATGTAGCGAAGTAGTTCCAAAATCAAGTTTATAAGAGCTTAGAGATGCTGCAGAGGACCTAGGTTAATCTCATGAAGGTTGTCGACGGAAAAGGAGGAAAAGACCATCTCTGCCACGTCTATTTGTTCAAATTGAGGATCCGTTATTGATGTCGACAAGATTTTCAATAAATCATAGACTGTCAAAATAAAAAGAATTGAAGCTATATAAAACACTCATTGTTTTCTCCCAATATAGCCGAATATACCGCACATGAAAAATACTCGCAAAGGCAGCGAAGTTGTTAACTCGCGTGCAAATCTAAGTATTTGAATTTTAACACAAGCCGAATTTTTCTAACCTAAGTGGCAAATAAAAGCTCATTTTTTGGTGGCACTTTTGGTAAATTTTTAACCATAGACAATTTAATAGCAACTCTTGCTGCTTTATTGATGGTTAGTGTTAGTTTACTTCCCGGGTTGACAAAAAATGTTAATCATACAATTTTCATAAATGAAGAAAATGCTTATCATACTCTTTTATACAATTTCACTGAGAAAAATTAAGTGTATGAAAATAGCAAAATACGCATTTTTCCATAATATGAAATTGTATGATAAACCTTTTTTTCAAAAATTTTAAATTTTTCTAATGACCAGAAATCGTCAAAATGCAATTAGACCAAAAATGTTTATTGAAAATTTTTAAAACACTTAAAATTTTGTATGAATTTTCTATGATAAGGATTTTTTCCATAGACTTCTTATATGAAACTGTATGATAAGCATTTTTCTTCTATGGACATCAACCCGGGTTCCAAGAGAGCGTACCGCATATGCGCGGATGTGAGACTCCTTATATCCAGGTCGGATGTTTGATTCCGGAACAAATCAGTGTTTAAATTTTCAAGGATTACTTTTTCTTTTCCTCACTTTGTTTTTGCCATTTTCCCGCTTGTACTTGACACAAACGGACAGATGATAACTGAGCTTAAAGACAAACAAGGCTGCTCGTATCAGGGCAAAGCCCTGAATGTTTTGACTGTCCTTTAATTATTCTTGTTTAAGTGTTGTAATTTGAGTCGTGTATGGAGTTGATAAGACCAATTAGCTTGCCTCAATGCAGAAACAATTTTTTAGTGCGGGATGAAGCGCCACGCGTAAATAATTCTGCGGGATAAAGCGCCGCGCGTTACACTGTTTCTGAAGTTTCATATAATGAACTAGCTTATCTTTCGAATTATGAGCTGAAAAAGTTGACTTGGTTGTTTCTGTGATTGAAATTAATTTTTACTTTCCAAACTGCAGAAGAATATTTAATTGAAGATAACAACGAGAGAAGGAGCTTAGATTTTATAATATTAAATCACTTTTAAAAAACATCCGCACAAAACATGTAACCAAGGCAATCGATGGCGTCCCTGTGTGCTATATGGCTGGTCGAAATATCAAATTTCCTTAGATTTTAGGTAACTAACACGAAGAATTTCTTACTGCTCATGTACAAAGTTTCTTAGTTTCTACATGAAATGGGTAACTAGTTGAGGTAAAGTCTTGAAAACTTTTCATGCTCAAACTTTTATTTTGGCGGCTTGATTTTTCAATTATAAGTTTTTGGTTCAGTTCATGTTCATATAATAAAATGAATTTTGTTTGCGCTCTTTGCGAGCAATTGCAAGTGGCGTTTAAAGTGGGGGCTGACTTCAAAAGTGGATTTTTTGCAGATTTTTCAGCAGATTGAAATAGAAATAACTTTTGACCAACTTTTTATAAATGATAGTTCCTTTGTTTACATAGCGAGCTTGCGGTCGTTAGTGTATTTTAGTACGAACTTTTTTTCGCACCTAACTCACAAATAAAAGTGTTCATTCAAAGTGTTCACTTATTTGGTGGCACTTTCGCTATAATCACGATCTGTAGCATTCGAAATTTCGTATCATATGTTCTCTGCTTTTTTTCTGGCTAGTGTTTGTGATTTTTTAAGCGTCCGAGGTTGAGTGACTAGTGTGGGAAACTCATAATCTCTAGGTTGTTGATCGAATACGAGACTTAGCCGAATTGTTTAGGCTTATTTCTACTTTTAATTTTAGCACTTTATAGAGCTGCTTTTTGTCGTGTTCTCGCTGGTGTTTGCAAAGCACAGCTTTTCCTCTGTGAGAAGTTTTTTCCAAATTGATTTACCTCGAATGAAACTATTGTTTGATGCTTATGTTAAGATAAATTTTGAGTTTTTGTTTTACATGGTTAATGGAACTCATTCGGCGGATTAAGAACTTGTTACTTTAACTTCGTGTTTTTCGCAAATTTTTGTTGTCATTTAAGCAAAATTCGTATTTAAAGCCGCTTAGTTTTTTTGCAGGGTGAGCTCTACGGGAATCTGAAAGCGCAATACGTGTATGAGTGGGATGCGGGGCCGAAGCCATCCAGAACATTTCCAGGGAACGAGAATGTGTTTTTGAGACCTGACTACCCGCCACCCGACGGATTCAGCGAGCAGCAATGCATGCACCAACCGGTCGACTCTGGTGGAATTGTGAGTTATTCCCATGCAATCAATCACACAAAAATTTTAAAAATTTGATTAAAATCCAATTTACAGATTTTTACACATCAGTTATTTCTCTGTTATATATCTGTAAGTTTTGGGCGACGTGCTTGCTTAAGACTTGAAGTCTGCGTTGATTACAGTCTATGCAGATAACTTATCAGTTAGTTGAGCTATTTAGGGTTTTTATAGTACAGCTTCACTTCATATATCTTAGTTATTCTGTGCCGCAAACTGGCATCCTTGGAGGCATGGAATAACTGATGCCATGTGATGGTTAAATTAGCACTCTAATTTGGTTGCTTTTTTTCAGAATCAAGCTCAAATTTTTTGCGCTCAATTTTGAATTTAGTGGTTTGACTTCTGATATCTTTTTTTCCGACATTTGAAGAAAAAGATGGAATATTTTTGCTCGGGTGGATTGATTTTATCCAGACAAGTTTTTTAACTAGCTGAATTTTCCGCAAAATGTTTGTAAATTTATGAAATTTTATAAATTTTCGAAAAGATATCTGAATGACATTTATGTTAAAATCTCAAAATAAATAGCAATTTTCGCCTGCCACTACTAGTTCCTAAATAATAGGGGATTCAAAGATGATTCAAAGACCACTATGGTTAAAAAAATTTATAATTAACGCGCAATATATTTCGTCCTATTACAACTCTCCAAATTGAATTGAAGCAAGCAGTTTACTCTGTTCACTAGCGATCAGCTTAGTGTATTATTATGAACCTTCTTTTTTCCCAACCTAACTCGCTAATAAAACTGTTCATTAAAACTGTTCACTTATTTGGAAGTTTCATTGTAGTATTGGAAATTGCATAGCATCTGTTCTCTGCTTTATTGGTGGCTAGTAATTGGTACCTTTTAAGCTTCCGTGGCTTAGTGGTTAGTTTGTGAGATTCTTAATCTCCAATGCGCGGGTCCGAATTTTTACGAATCGAGGCTTATTTCTAGTTGTTCCGACTTTCGATACGAAAGTAACGGAATATTTGTGCTCGGGGTGGGTTTTTTTTTCTTCAGACAAATTTCTGAAGACTTTTTAACTAGCCAATTTTGACGGAATTTTTTTATATCATTCGAAAGGTATTGTTGTCCTGAGCTCAAATTTGAAAAGATATTTTACCTGTGATCATTTTTCGTAAAGTTACGGGGGTTTAAAGATTGCCATTTTGGCCAATTTGGGACAATTAACGCGCGATATATTTCGCGCTATTAACGCGTAAGCGGAGATTTAATCCGTCTTATAAATCGTTCCAAATTGGTTAAAAGAAGCTTATTTGCCATAGTTGGTTTGTTACAAGGAGCGAAATCTATCCTTTTGTTCTTTATATGGCGTGTGGGGGGATGATTTTCAATTAAAAAAATTTCACATTTCAGAAAAAAAATTTCTTTTGTTTTATTTTATTGAATTTTTTAATGTTATTACTGCTCCATAAACCTTAAAAGGCAGTCGGAACATTCAGGGCTTTGCCCTGATACGAGCAGTCTTGTTTGTATTATTGCACTTTATAGTCCTGCTTTTTGTCGTGTTCGCGCTAGTGTATGTGGAGCTAGTATTCTCAAAATACTTTTATGAAAAAAGTGATAATCTTAAAGGTTTTTGAGTTCGAAGAGCTTCAAGCTATATATAGCTCGATAGTAAAATAGTGGAATATCATTATATTAGAGGCATCTTACACAATGGTAAGGCGTTCAATTTAAGAGCGTCCGATTGTGTGATTGATCCCCTGCCATTGTAATGTTAGTGTGTGAGGATGAACTCTAACTTGACCAATAGCTTCAGTTCTACCGCAGCCTGATCGGTTCCTGATGAGAAGGAATAGCCTAATCGTTTTTTTTTGCGCGGTAGATTCAACTTGCAACCTTTTAGCCTATCATCAACGATTGTCACGAGTATCAGAAATCAATAACTGCTGCTGGAGATAAAGCAGGTCTCACTCTGTTCATAACATTCCAACTTGTCTATCGTTGCTTATGAATTATTCTCTATATATTCATTTTTTAGATCAATTTTGTGTTCTATTCGGATTCGTGAGTGACTAAGGTGTTCTTTTGTTTGACAGTCGACCATGGCAAAAGTGGCTACCTGGACACTGTGCAGTATGAGTTGAAGTGCTGTGGTCTCAATTCCACATCTGACTGGAAAATGAGCATATGGTACGACAGGAGAGCCAGACAGGTGAAGGCGCAACACAGTGTGTGGCTAGACTCTTTGCCAGCAGCCACCGGCTCGCTAGTCAACATGGCCGCCAGGAATGTCCCCATGACCTGCTGCAGAGAACTCAATGACCAGCCTGGCATGTCCACTGCCGATGACTTCTGTTAGTCAATAGTAATTGCAAAGTTTGAAAAGCACGATTTTATACGAATAACAATTTAAAAACGTTCATGTTCTTGATTTATTTTCAAGTTTTTTTAACATTTTTTCTCTAAATTAAAGAACAAAATACGCTCTGCAAAATGTAAAATGGTGCGAAAAAATGGACTTTCAATTTGAACATTGGCAGCGGAAAAAATCTTGATCCAATTTTCTCTAATTGTTAGTTTTATGGCAAAGCGTTAGTTTTATGGCAAAGCGTCAATCAAGCTTTGAGTTCATATAAGCTTTTTAATCATGAACAAGCAGTTTTATCCCTTATTTCTTGTTAAAATGTTATCCGGCTCAAAAATATTCAGTTAAACACTTTTTAATTAACATTTTTCCCTGTCTGTTGGCTATGTTTTGCATGAATAGGTTTTGACTCTCGTGGTGTTTTTCATTTGATGGGCCAAAAATTTGTACTAGCGTTGATTGAGTTCAAACGTTGTAGTGTTTTGTGTAGTGTATCTGATAGAGATGCCGTGTAATCGGAAGAAGATGTTTCTGGTGATGGACGAGGCCTACCGCAACCTCGAGTACAATTGCACCCCCTACGCGCGGCCGTGCTGGCCACTCATCAAACAGGTGGGTGATCCCACTTCTTTTGCATGTAATACGGTGGTAGTCGACACCAGTCACTAATAGAACAAAAAAATCATTACTAGCTCGGTGCTAAAAACACAATAAGAACCAGTGGCGGATCTAGGATTTTCTCGGTTACATATCAATATTTAGACAACCGCGTATTCAGACTGGTCAGTATTTAGACAAATACTGTTTAAACCAATCAGAATCGAGACAAAGAAGAAATTAATAAATAATTATTATTTATTTTGGATTATTTGTCTTTTCTCGATTCTGATTGGTTCATACAGTATTTGTCTAAATACTGACGAGTATGAATACGCGGCTGTCTAAATACTGGCTGCACTCCGATTTTCTCGAGGGGGGCGGAGTTTCAAAAAATTTTGACTCTCCTAGGAAAGCTTTTGGCTCTCCTAAAGTACTTAAAAGATGCTGTTTTGGCCAAACTTTCTGCACCGCAGACAATTTTTTTTTTGAAAAAACGGGTCAAAAAGTGTTTGGGCACTTCTTGGAAAATTTTGACAAAAAAATCGCGTTTCTTTTAGCGCGCGCTCCTCCTCAAAGTTTGTATATTGGCGCCAAAGGCGCCTTTAGAAAAATTTTAGGGTCCGTCATCAAACATGGGTATCTCAAAAAAGTACAAACCCCCCCCTAAATCCGCCCCTGATATGAAACTTCATTTTTTTGATAGTCGCTTATGGCAGGAATTTTTCATTTGATGTCCATGCGTTTTTCGCCATGCGAGTACATTTTTATATCGAAGTTTCCCAATTATGTTATTGATTTTTTTGGTCAGCAGGTGTACGCCCCCTTTAGCTTCACCCTCCTCGTCCACTCGGGGGTGATCATGATTGTGTCCTTCATATTCATCATCATGTCCCAAATGTTCGTCACTCCCCCAAAAGTGGCCGGTTTCGACCCCGCCAATCCAGTGGTGCGCTACCCCCTAGACAACCACTTCTTCCGCTCATACTCCCCAGTAACTTCTGTCCATACACAGACTGCCTCAGTGCGTAGCTGAAATGGACCAATGAAGACAACAACATCCATGAAACAATTGGAACAATATGAAGAACTTACGTAAAAAATGGTCTGTTTTGTTTGCGTTTGTGCAACAAATCGGGGCCATGTCAATTAGCATACCAGTCGCTAAGCATAGTTCAATTTGTATCAAAAACTTATCGCCCAGCATACCCTAATTGTGATCAAATAGGTGTTACTTAAACGTTTTTGAATCATTTTTTGTTTGATACGTTGATTATCCAACGAAATAGTTGACTCAACTATTTTAGTGATGCTTTGGGTATTTGTGGTGAAAACTAGTTATTGAAACGTTTTATTTTATGTTGCAAGTTAAAGCAAATTTTAGCTGAGTAGAATGAAATTTGAAAAAAGCTCGGGTATGTTTCTATTTTAGAAAATGCTTTTATACTTATTCTCACTCTCTGAAAGAAAGAGTAAGCTTGGTGACCCGCTTTGTGAACTATCAGAGAAATTGTTCCGATAAATAATCTATGTTGAGAATTGAATAAAGTTTCGGCGAAGGTTAAGTAAAATGTAGACAATTTCATAAGTGGACTTAAATGCAATAAAAAATGTTACCAATTCAGAGATTGTGTTCAGTTTGCTTAACAAAAGCTAAGCTTTCTTTTCTGAGCTAAGTTATAAGTTTCAGATGTTGTTAAGATTGAGATGCTTCGCTTTTTTTCTAAAATAGGACTGGCTAAGTTAATAAGTATTGTTCCGACTACTTGAAGCGCTACTGGTCAATGTCTCAGTTCCAAAAATGGTATTTACAAAAGGTATTTTGCGCCCAATTTTATGGAGCATCAGGAATGCTGGTTGAGTGACAAGTGCGATATCATCTTGGTCGTTTTTCCTCTTCAAAAATTCTCAGGGTTCAATTGAAGAAATTACTTAAGTAATGTATTTTGAATTAACTGAGCTGGTTTGCCCAATTTTGGCTACTTATATATCGATTTAGTGACCTACCACTAAACATTTGACAAACCTTGAAGTATGCCAATGCAATGCATGTTCAATTTGGAAATTTCACATTAAAGGCTTAGGTCACCCCAATTTCTCATCAGAAATACTTCAATAAGAACAACGAGTTCGGCGTTTTTTAATTGACTTGAAGTTTTTGCAAAAAATTTAGGATGTTGATGTGCAAAATTTATGACACTAGTCAACTATTAAACAAGTTCGCGTCGAAGTAAAATAACAATTAATGTCATCAGAAATAATTTGTTTTTCCTTCAAATAATTATAAACTATTTTTTATGCATCTCCAGTTTAGTTTGCGACTAAAAACCAATGTAAGATTAAATAATAGAAAAATTTCAATTACGATGTTTAAAATGGGGTTAGAAAACACATAAATTGAATGATGAGAAATATGTTTTTTACTTGAATAAAAGCAAACTGTTGCCAATTTCACTAACCTTTTTTAAAAACGATTTAATTTTGCTGAGTAACAATCTTAAAAACGAGTAGCCGCAAAATTTTTTTAATTTTTGGGCAATCGACTAGTGCCCCGAATTAAATCGAACGGGAAACAAGACTTTTTGAAAATACCAATGATAACACGGAGCAAACTTCGTGAAAATTTCTTTTACCGTGTCGCAGAAATGTCAAACACTCTCGCGAGATCGAATATTTTGGCTGGCTATGATCTTTTTCAAGAACCTGTAATCTTAAAAAAGAATTTGAACCTGTTTCTGGTTGACAAACTACAAACATTTAAATTTTCGATTTATCCAGAATCATGGTTTTTAAGTTTATTTTACTAATTTCGCTATCAATGACTAAAAGCAACTAATCCTCTCCTTGCGGGTTTAACTCAATCTTGTCATGATTATTACTGTGCTTTTTTTTAGACATTTTTGTATGGGACTAATTTTTAATTACGCTGTTGATTTTTGTTTCTCTATTATTGACGTTCAATCTGATGCTTCTAAAATTTTCGAAATCCAGGTTTCTGCTGAAAAATTATTTTCTATTTGACGAATTTTTTTAACCAGATCTAGTATGAGGTACTGTAAAAAGTTTTTTATCTATGGTTTTCTTTGTGGCAAAAGTCGTTAATTGAATGATTTCCTACTTTTATTTCAAACTCAGAGTTGACGTGGAAATAGTTTGCTTTGTTTCCGTGCCTTGTTCACCTGATTTCGGTAAGTCAGTTTTTTCGAACTCAATATGAGTCCGTATTTAATTTTAATTTTTTTTGCATATTTTTGTATCGCTTCTGGAATGAATTTTAGCTTGGACTCTGTCTCAGTGTTTTTATTTCAAAGAGTTGAAATAATTGTTAGTAAAAAAACAAATAAGAAATTGGGTTTACGGTTATCCTTAATTTGTTAGAAACCTCCAATTTTCCTGTCATTTTTGTTCCGACTATGTATATCGGTGGTTTTTTTGTTGTTTTCCACATAAAATCAGGTGCCACAAATAACACAAGCAAAGCTGAGTCTCGCAAGCACTAGCGATAACACAACAAAAAAGCAGCTTCAGAAAGTGAAACAACAAAAAATGAAAGAATTAGACTATTGCACCCGCCCTCTCGACCTCCAACGCTTAAAAATCGGCGAAATCTAGTCACAGAAAACTACATCTTTTTGTACTTGTTCAATAAGAAAGACGAGTATAAAAATAAAAAGCTGACCACCAAGTTCTGAGGAGCAGCGAACGAATGAACGGAACACGTTTTGTTTTGTGTTATAGTGACTTTCATCTCAATATGCGTTAAATAATTTTTAATTCTTGGTTTATGCAACTTACAATCTTGCAGTTTTTTGTCAGGATTTCCTAATGATGTGATAATGGTTTTTACCGAAATGCATTGAACCTTATCCGAATCAGAGTTTTTTCCTCACCCAATTGCAAATAGACACAACTTTGCATGTAATAAATTGAAATATAAACTAAAAGCAGCCATATTTATTTTGCATGTAATACATTAGAAAACAAACAACAACACTATGTATAATTTTTGCATTTCACAAAATTGCAAGATGTATTGAGTTAGAAAATTTTTAAAAATCAGTTTTAATCATTGTAAAATTAAAAAAATTGGTTAATTTGATGAATTAACATAGGCGATAGATCATTTGCGATAGACACGACACTTTGCGATAAATTATAGTCGTAAAAAAGCAATAGTCAGTGAAAAAAAGGTTGAAAAAAATAGGTTAACTAAAACTTCCGTTTGACTCAATGAAGGACACCTAGGGCTCAGCTAAAGCTGGAGGTACCTATTTGATATTTTTTGAAATTGTTGTACTGATGCGGGACGAAATGCGTAATTTCAAAAATTTGGTTTTGGCCGAATGTTGAAATTGTTTTTTTTTTGGATCTATTTGGAAAATAACTAAAATACATAAGAAGAGAACATTTTTGAGCGTTTCAAATTTTCCTCAAGACCTAATGTTCTCTTAAAAAAACCTAAAGAATAGACGCTTTTGTGGAAATTTTGCAAGCCTGCTTATTTCAATTGAAATTATTATCTCAGATTTGATAGAGTAGTTTTGAAGAAAACTCAAAAAGTTTTTAAAAAATTGTCTTAGTTCAAAAAGTTGCATTTCCAAAATCGGTATTTTTTTTCTGCTAAAAGCGTCAAAACTTCCAAAAAACAGTCCAATTTTCAAAACTTCCACTCGTTTGAAAGCCATACTTATTTCTTTAAAAGCCCGACATAGCAAATTGAAAAATTAAGTTTCTAGTATCTTGTTGGACCGATTGAACATACGACATCAGATTAGGTACGATAGTTATCAAAAAAAACTCCAAAAAATGGTCAACAACTCAGAAATTTGACACTTCTGAGAATTGGTTTTAAGAAAATTGAGCGTAACTGTTTATGCAAAAGAAATTCACCCAATATATTATTTCGATTGATAAACCCAAAAACCTAGGTTTGGCTGGGAATTTCTCAAGAAACAGAAATTTCTAACTGCCTTCCTACAGCTTTCTCGGTTTGAACCCAAAATCTCAGATAAGCAAAGGTATTTCATGGAAGAATTCATAAAATTTAAATAACAAAACATTAAAATTTTTTTAAAAAAAATCAATTTTCCGAGACAATATCTTTGAGTGGTTTCTAATGCAATGGAGCTTCTAGCTACCCGTTATTGCCATTGAACCCACAACCTCAATTTAAAAATCAAAAAACGGTCAAAAATTTGAATATTCCGAGAAACATAAGTTTTGTTTAAAAAAACTCAGGCCTAAACTTTTATGATGGAGCTTTTCAAATGCGTTCTACTCACTGAAGCCAAAATCTCCAAATATTTTTGAAGTCTTGAGGTGACGAAAAAAATGCCGGTCAACTATTTCCCCCACAGACTTTTCTTGAAGGTTGTTGACAAATATGTAAAGCAAAAAGAGACCAGGAGGGGACTATGCAGGCACACAAGAATATCAGTTTTGAAACTCTGCGGAAAATTTTTTACTAAAAAAACTAATTTTTTGCAAACTTTCAAAATTTTTCAAAGCGCCTCAAAAAACTCTTCAAAATACCTGTTTTTATCACGCAGGGATTCTAGGCAAGCTTGCCGCCAAGCATTAAAAATTTTATTCAAGAGCGGGCAGTTTAAAAAAACTTACGAAGCGGAAACAAGGCCGACAACCTTTGAGCAAATAGCAGTTCAGCCAAAAAAACTGATTTTTTAATTTTTTTTTAAAGTTTCAAGTCTCCACTGAAACCACTCTATAAAATTAGACTCATCCTATAATTAAAATTGATTTTTCTTGAAATTGAGCATATCAACTGAAGAGCATGTCAAGTGATTCAACTGATTTTGTTTAATTAGTTGTTAACCCGGAAAAAAAAGACAACAATCCGATTTGATTTGGTTTGCTAATCGCAAGCGTAAATTGCATAAACAGTTGATTCATTACTATATGAAAAACCGTAGAGGTACTATCAAAAGTGGTACCAATATTCGCGACTCAGGTTACAAAAAAAAGGAATAGTCGAACTATTACACTAATGCTCACTAAAATTCGCTAGTCGAGTGGTTTATAATTGAAAGCCTTTTCAGTTGTGACTTGAACTTTGAAAAAAGTGCTCATTGGCGTGTAAAATGGATTGAAGTTTTTAGTCTAATTTTGAAATAATAAGGTGAGCCTGCAGGCTACTAATAGCTTATTCATGCTTAATTTAGGCCGTGGACACCTAGTTTTTTCGAAAAAATAAGTTTTGATTTTTTGCGCAAATTTTGTTAAAAAACAATGAAAAAATTTGTAATTAGCAAAAAGTTTTTATTGACATGGGTTTGTTTGAAACGCCATTCATCACACTGAATTAATTAATGATTTTGAGTCAACTCTGTGATAAAACCCCCATCGTGCATTATTTGGCAATGTCTGTTAAGTTTCAGTTCTATTCAAAGTTTGTTTGTCAAAATGGTATAAGAGTTACCAACTCCGATTTCATATAATTTCAAAATGTTTGCTAAGCTATTTTCAGCTTTAAAGGTTTCAACCTAGAATATTTTTGTTTATTTGACTCATAGCGTTGTTTAATAAGCAAAAAAATCGAGTACATGTATGTATTTTTTGTGGAGATTCTTAAAAGCTAGTGATTTTGATCTTCGAATGAAAACATTCTTTTTCGGCTCAACAAGTATCTGTTCAAGTTTTATTGATTTTGTTACATTTTTGTAAATCTTTTTTGATGCGCATTTAGCACTGGTGAATGTTTTACAAAGATTTTTTTCTCACAGAAAGTTTTCTGCTAGACAAACTGAAACAAACATAAAAATTAGTTTGGTAGATCTAGTGTCAAACCTAGCTGTTAACGATTAACTGGAAATAATTTTTCCCAGTTCCCTCAAAATCAGATAGCACATCAGCTCAGAAAATATTTTAATGCTTGATTTCTGCTATTTCAATTTTTTATGCCCAAATGGTGCAAAATGCAGATTGAATCGTGTTTTTAACTTTAGATTCAACCTTTCGAAAACCCAGATCTATTTAAATTTTTGCTTCATTTGATTAAGTAAAAGTGTTAGCAAAAATATAACAGCGTATTTGCCTGATTCAGGTTGTTTGATGAGCAAAACTAATGTGTGAGTGCAGGGAAAGATTTAGCGGGGTTGCGGGGCATTTGGACACCCCACCCCCCCCCCCCCCCAGGAATTCGATCCCCTGCCGACCCCCATATGCGATAAACCCTTTGAACTATTTTGAGATATCCATTTTTGACTGATGGACTCTGAAATTTTTCTAAAGGCACTTTTGGCGCCAATATATAATAACTTCAAGAAAAAATGCCTAAAATTGGAGCGCACGCCAAAAAATCCTAGATCCGCCCCTGTAGGTGTGTGTTTTAAGGGAAATTTTCATCTTCTTTAGAGGTCTATCAGTCTGTTTCATGATCACTACCGGGAAATATGCATACAACAAATCTTAATCGAATTGATGAACCTAAGTAATAGAGTGAAATTTTTTTTGATCTATTTTTTTTCTATCAAAATATTTGTCAGACTTTTTTGTCCACTTGAAACAAATCGGTCATTTCCCTTAAATTAAATTTTGTTCTGAATATTGAAAATAATCAGGTACAATTTTTTGTTCTTCGAAACTTTGAATTGAAACCCAAACCGCGGCTGAAAGTGTGTCCAAGCGATACCATATTTACCCCTATGAGCCTATCAGATCCCCTATGAGTCAAAATTGGCAGGAAAAAAAAGCATGCACTACATCATAGTTCATTCCTTTCATTTCGTGATGCAATCGAAACAAAAAGTCAAAAAATGGGCATTTATGACGTCAGTGGTTGAATTGCAATTAAGAGTTAAAATTGAATTTTGTCTCCTCATAAAACCTGGCAAAAGATAGTGTTAATGAATTTTTTAAAGCACCAGCATTTGTACAATTTTTAGGTTTTATTTTTGACATAATGAAAGGCAATACATTCTTCATCACAAAGTTCCATATAGTAGTTAAACCAGTGGTTGTGACGACGTAACAATTGACGAAGTATAGGGAATAAACAATCTGAAACAATTTTCCCGAAGCATAATTGATCATAGTCGGACAGCGAAAGTGACTCAGATGAAGAACAAACGAGATACTGGGTATAGCAGTGTTTCTACCCCTTAAACTAAAAAATTTAATTGTAAAATTTACTATGCAAAAACATAGTTTCACCACTTGAGTTGGTTTAGTTATAATTTTAATTTTGCTTTTTTTCTAATTCTGTTCTATCGGTTAAGCATATTATGCTTCCATACAACCCAAATTGAATAAACAGCAATCCAATTTTTGAAATTTAAGCACTGATGCAGTCACTTAGCAGGATTAGTTTAAGCACTGATGCAGTCACTTCGCAGGATTAGTTTTGTCTTCTCGAAAAATTTTTGGCACCGAGCAAAAAAAACGTAAAAACACTTGAAATGGAAAAAATGCGGATGTTCGAATTTGATCAAAATTGGTACTACAACCTGCTGATTAGCAGTCACCTAGTTTAATGAGAGCGCATGCTAGTCAATGTCGCCCAAAAATTGTTACGCAACCATTGTTCATTTAAATGTCAATTTGGATAATAAACCACGCAAAAATGTGAAATTGTGGGAGTGAATTATTTTTTTTATTACATGGCACCACAAGATTTGCTTGTATTGAAATTTTCTCGTACAGATGCGAATTTACACAATACAAATCAAATTACAAAATACATGAAGCAAATTTCAGGCAATTTTATTCAAGAATGTTTCAAGCCTGATAACGCATTCCCCACTTGTATTCTGAAAGCAACAACCAAAATGACGGGTCTCACAAATTGGAATCAAAATCAGCCTACTTTCTTAACTTATTATTTCAAGTTGCTTTAAAAAAAATGATTTGTTATTTATTTCTCAAGCCTGATTTGCTTTGAAGTAGTTGCTGAAACAAAATTAACGACGGAAGCAGATAGCATAATAAATCTGTTAACACACAAGCTGACAACAAAAATAGACGTCAGTGGGGAAAAAAGTCATATAACGCAAAATTCTGTTTGAGTTGCCAAGTCTTTTTGACAAAACTATCTGCTCCGCGAAAGTTTTTAAATACTAGTTCGGCAGTAATTTATTATTCCATGGACACTTTTTCTATGGACTATTTCAGTCATATGTGGGGCTGACGTTTTCACGCCAAATTTTCTGAATAAAAACTGATTTCTGGGCCAAAGTGTGATTCAGTCATATAAAAAGCAGCAACATTGCTTATGCAACACGAAAAGGCAGATCATTGAAGGAAAACTTGTAATTCAGTTTTTGAATCAAAACTATTTCTTTCAAAATGATTTCAGCCTTTTGGAGGTAAGAGCATTCGTAAGTGTTAAAGAGTTATCTGATAACTTCATCTACATACCAAAAAGAAAACCATTTTTTATGACTGCCAAGTCAGTTTCTAGAAGCCAATTCATGATCTGGTCACTAGAATTATGGATTTTCACGACTGCTACGTGTCTGCAACGCATCCAATTTGTTAACCCTAAATACACTTTTTGTAAAATTTTAATCATTTACACTGAAGCGAAGCTGCGCTTCGCAGATGAAAGCGAACAAACGCCAAGAAGTGGCTTTAGAAAAGATTTTGAAAAAAAAATTTTGAAAAGAAAAAATTTTTGAAAAAAAACGGACCTCTGCGGGAATTAACCCTCAGTCCTCGGAAATTCATGTTTTCGGTTGGCTGCACCACACATTTGTGCATCTGGAGCTTTTTGCGTGCATTAGATTGAGAAGTCTAACACCAAATTAGGTATTAATTGTGCAATATAGAACTCGCGGAAATAAAATTGGTTGGAAAATTTTAGTAACCAAATTGCAAGTATTATACTGTAACATGAAGCAAAAAAAATTCGATTAATTTAATGAAATAAAAAACTTAAACAGTGGTAAATTATTACTTACACAGAGGCGAAGCACTAGCGAGAACACATAAAGCAGCTCCATAGTGCAAAAAGAAAAAATAGAAATTAGCTTCGAATTATTGAAAATTAAGCTTTTTCTCGGATTCGAACCTACGACCTAGCGAGTAATTGATGACTAACACTAGCCACAAATAAAGCAGATGCTATGCAATTTTTCAATGCTACAGTAAAATTGCCATATAAGTGAACAATTTCACTTTCGGACTCGGAGCAGTAGTTACGTCTTCGCCTCTCAATCGAAAGGTAGGCTGTTCGCCGCCCACCATGAATCGTGTTCGTTGCTTTAGGGTGAGGCAACATTACCCAGGCCAGAAAAATAGCCAAAAAATTGCATGTAATTCTTAATCAGGGCACAACAGCGGTTCTGCGTAAAGAGCTGAACAGCTCGTATAGTGGGCCTTTTCCTTGTGGATAAAATTGTCTTAAAACAGTGCACCAATAAGTTCACTTCCACATTGGCTAAAATGTCAGCAAAAGTAGCTCTTTAAGTTGCGGATGAAATCGCCTTGTAAAAAAGTTGCATCGTTATATCATACTACGCACTGCTTATGCGAAAACTCGACTAATATCGACTGACGTTGTATTATGGACAATAGCACGTCTTTTGACGTTCGTCTTTCAAACACAAAGGTTGTGTTTCAATTTTACAAATGAGCTTTCAAAAGTTCCGAACTATTTTTTGTGTCTACTTGCTATTTATTATCTGGAACACCTAACTATCATCTGGAAATGTCTTGTTTTTTAAACAGGACAAAAAAAATCTTGGAATTATCAATTGGTGGGGGTAACAAAAGGTTTTTTTATTGTATTTACATTTATATTGGACAGTTCACTGAGTGATTATAAAATTCTAGCTGGGCTCAAAATGAGTTCGAAACTGCTAAGTTACTTAGTCGCGTAATATCCTAGTCCCTCTCCGTTTGTAATACAGTTCAATCCTCCGATTGTCCTTCTAGGTTTCGCTGTCTCAATTCTGAGCCGTCATCTGTGTTTCTAACTGATTCCTCTTTCTTCTCGTCTTCTGTATTCTCTAGAGGCTTGTTTATATCCTCTTCATCTTCCCCTTTCTCTTTCTTCTTCGGCTGTCCGGGTGGTCTGGGGAAAGGCAGGAAGAGCAGAGCAAATGATATAATGACAATGTAGAAATACAAGGACCTAAACAAAAATATCCCGTTTCTATTGATTTAAGTAACGTTTTTCAGAGCATATCATAAATATAGCCAGAGTTGCATAAAAATCTGATGTATATTCTCGATTGATTTAAATCCGATTTTTATTATTTTACCTTGATTTTTATTGGAAACGTTTTTGTTTCAAGAATCAATTAATTTACGCAAAATTACTGATTCAGCATCCGAAATATGTTTAATCAGAATAGTTAACCAGATAAACAGAGGTAATGAACATAGTCTGGATTGATACTGAAAACACATTGATAAGTTTCTTTTTGAAAACATGAAACTTTTTATAAGGCAATCTATTCACGACTGATATATTTCACTGCAGATTTATTATTATTAATGCTTAAGTCTCAAATGTCATAAATCCCAAATGGCATAATATTCATGCAAGTTGCATTGAACAAATTTGTCGGGAATTTTTTCTGCGAACAAGGAATGAAAAGTAGTAAAGTTGCTAATTCAATTGTCGTTAGACATTCTTATTTGAAGAAATTTTCAAGATTTTATTAGAAGCATAAAGCTTACACTAAGTTTCTTGTAATCAGTTTTTCCTGCAAATTTGTTGCTCAACATTTATTTGGAAGCAATTAATTCCAAATCTTGTTTACACGTTTTCGTTCCCCATAAAAAGGAGAAATGATCGGTGATGGAAAGCATTTGAGTTTCAATCAAAACTTAAAATTTATGACATTTGGGGCAAAAATTCATTTTTATGCCATTTAGGAATTATGCCATTTGGGAATTATGACATTTGAGAAGTTACTGTATCATTCTTAAGCAAAAAATGGGAAATAATTATATCCAGAGGCTTCACATTGATTGCTAATTATAAGCAGATAGGATTGCTTCAGTTAGTAACAAAATTGCTTCCACGTTACTTGCTTCCACGTTACTTGCTTCCACGTTAATTGCTTCCTCATCTGGTAAGTTTCAATGTGAGAAAAATACAAGTAACAAGTAACCATTCTACTTGTAATCAAACGATTCCTTCTTCAAACCAAATATGTAACATAAAATTAATTATTTCTAAGTTTACTAAGTTAACAATTTTTTCGACATACTTAACTCTATATTTCAACAGGAAGCTCCATCAAAAACATGTATCAAGCAGATTGAGCCAATTGAAAATCGAATTTTAAGTTCGAGAAAAAAATTGGCACTCAAAAATCAGCCTACAGGCGGTGTTGGAGACATTTTTATTCAATTCAGAGACAGCCTTGCAAACAATTTAATTTGAATAACTCAAGAAAACCAAACAGAAAATATAATCATTAGATAGTTGTCAAAGTCTGAATGAATTAAAGGAAACTGAGGAAAAATTATTTGTTTCTTTTGCACAATTTTTAAACTCGGAAAAATATATCGACTTAAAGCTCTTAAGAATCTTATTTGAAACATTTTTTTATTCAGATAACTGACCAATTAGAGAAACTGTCAATATGCTATCTTTTCATTCGTCTCTTCCATCTACACGCCCCACCACACAATGCCTCAATTTTATGGCATAATGAATGAGTAATTTATCAAGGTTATGGATGAAAACCAAAAATGTTTCTCATGACTTAATTACTCCGCATGTCAATTTTCATAAAAATTGAATCATACGAACAATAATTTTACTTGTTAAAATTCGCAGATGAGGGAGGAAAAAGAGCCTTTCATTCACCTGCAAATTCTGAAAAGTGAACTCAATCGAAGATTAAAGTCAATCGCGGTTTTCGGTATTGCTTTTTTTGCAATTGGAGAGCATTATTCGCCTTCCTAATAGCAAATTTATTTGAGGGTAGTTAAGAAAATCATAAGTCAAACTGCCAAAGATAAATCAGAGCGTTGACAGCTTTAAACATAGCCAAAAAACATTTGTTAGAGTCAATGAAAGCAAAGAAACAGAAAAAATTGACATGCTTTTGAGAAACTTCAGCTTTCGAATTTCGAAGAAAAAATATATGGCCTTAAAACTCTTCGAATTTCAGGAACAATTTATGATCGAAACTTATTTGAGCATAACCAACTGACAGTTGAAAAAGTGTAATGAACGCGAGGAAACTGAAAAAAAATAAATGGCCTTAAAGCTCTTTGACTTTGTAGAACAATTTATGATGAGAACTTTTTTGTTAAAATTAACCCTATTTGAAAAAACTGGATCAATAGGTAAAACTTTTTATTTCGCTTGGAAATCTGATAATTAATTTCCACTTTCGCAATTATAAGTCGATCACGTTTTTCGTAACCTTTACATTTTTGCTGTTCGATAGTGGAGTTTGCCTTCCTTTTAACAATAGAAATGCACCGAACTTAGGTGAACTTAAAAAGAAATCACAAGTCAAACCGCGAAAAATCAAAATTGAGCGTGAACAAATTTTAAGACTTTATCCTGAAAAAAAATCAGCAAGACCAATTATATAAGAACACTCACTATGTTCATTACTCTTAATAAATTACCTCAATTTGAGAAAACGAGTGTTCGGTAAACTTTTTATTCCGCTGGAAAATCCAAAAATTAATTTCCACTTTCGAAACTGGAAATCGAGCACGAACTAGTAACCGAAAAAAATTAAAAACTTAAACGCATGGACATTGAAAGAAGTACGTGAACATTATTTCCCACTAAATTAATTGTTTCAAGCCGTTGCAGTTGATCTATGATAGTATGATGGTCACAATAACTTACTTGTAGACTTTAAGTACGATGGACAGTCGAAGTAGGATCTGTGCTGTGACAGCAAAACTTAGTGCCAAGTGGGTGCCCACGAAAGTGATCAACCCATACAATATCTGCTTTGATGTGGATGTCTGGAAAAACGGTCGAATCGACTTTCTGATCTGAAATCAAACATTGAGAAACATAACAGTAAATTTTCCATCAAAGAGCGACTTCCTATTTAGCTGTCATCATTTATTGCTTAACGGTCATCCTTCAACTTTTTTCCTCTATTCATATTTTATTATCACAGCCACGAGATAACGAAATTGCATAATTGTGGTTTTAATCGCAGACAATTTTTTTTTTTCAAATCATTTTTGACGCAAACATGATTTTCACCGTCGCAAGCTTGTTAAAATTTCAAATTAACTTGTCTTTGGAGGAATTGTGTTCGCCATATGATAAATGAGCTTTTCAAGATCAGTCCACTTTTAAAACTAATTAAGCAATTTTGTTTGCTATTTATGAGGGGCGGATTTAAGGGGGGCCGGATGCCCCCCCCCTCCCCACCTTAGGGATTAGACCCCTTGCCGACCCAAAGGTTCCCCTTTGGTACTTTTTAAGAAATCCATTTTTGGCCGACTGACCTTAAAATTTTTCTAAAGGCGCCTTTGGCGCCAATATATACTAATGTCGAGGGGGAGCGCGCGCCAAAAAAACGCGATTTTATGTCAAAATTTTCCAAAAAGTGCCCAAAACAGCGTCTTTGTAGTGCTCTAGGAGAGCTTAGAAAATCAATTTGGTCGACCTAAAAAAAGTCATCAAAGCCCCTGCTATTAGTAACCGTTTTGATGACGACACATAATTTCTGTCACTTATTTGAATGAATGCGCATAACTCGGCTTTCTTCCATAATTTGATTGTCGGAATAAGTTATTAATTCGGTCTGTTTACCTTGCGCCCCAGTGAGACAAAGAGCATGCCCTGTCCGAAGGTGACATAGTAGCCGGGGTAGAATCCGTGCCAGAAGGCGGACAGGAGGAAGACTGCATTGGTGGCGTGCTTCTTGTTCACCACCCTCGTGTAGCAGATGAATCGCAGCCACTTCGCAGTCTGCTTGTTCCACTCGTCAAACACCACTTTGAAACTAGTCGCAGTCTGAATTGAACAACAAACAACATCATAACCATTAATTACCACTGCTACCGATCTCACACAACTGACAATGAAATCGCAAAAACTTAGGTTATGTTGGATTAAAATTTGAAGTGTTAATAAATCAGCCGAAGCATAGGCCAACAAAAATTAGTCAGTATATATTGGTCAGTAACCAAAAATATAGTCAGTCGAAACTTTTCGTTATACCAATGAAATTTAATGACTTTCGTATTACATAAGTATTATATACCAATTACGTTTCGTGTTACATAACTATTATATAACAATTACGAATTTTCGGCTGACTGATACTGGCTGGCTTATATACCACCAAAACTTGGTTATTATCAATGAGTATTATTATTTACACGATCTTCTCGTAAATAATAACTACCATTCACAGAGCATTAACAAATTTGATTCGTAAATTTTCAGTACATTTATAGCTCAGATTTTTAAAAACAAGATGTTTGTTACAACAATCACTCACCTCCAATTTGACCAGAGTGCAGTTCTTAATGAGATCCCACTTCTCCTGGCCGTCCTCGGTCCAGCCGGAGAAGCCGAAGCCGGCGGCGTAGCTGATGCACTCGCCCAGCTTCCACGCAAAGTAGTATCGGAAGCGGTAGAAGAAACAGGTCAAGTAGCAGTACACCACCTTGTACATGAACGAAGTGTCTCTGATGAAGTCATCCTCTAGAAATAAAAAAGACGAAATGAAGATTATACAAAATATAGACTGCGTGCAGAAGACTATCTCCTAATTTCGGATCCTTCTTTCATTGCAGAAAAATTGCAACCAAACTTGTTTGAAATTCGATTTGAGTACTGTTGATAAAATTTGATTAGAATTTACATTAACGAAAACAAAATGTCAGGATACGCACTAGCCATAGATCCAGTGGGGAAAAGAGGACATAGCTTGGCCACGACCAAACCACACAGAGCACACGCAGCCAAGTTAACGACGAAAGCTTTCTGAAAGCAGGAGAAAAAAGTAAGGACATGAAACTCGACAAGATTATCATTGCCTTTCAAATGAGGTAACGGGATCAGCCACGTAATCAAATTACTTACGATTGGAGATGGGTACTTTTCGAAGCTTCTGGCAGAGTTCTAAAACAGAAAACGCACATTAGAATATTGCTAACCAGTCAATATGGAAGTATTTTTGTGCGGGCAAGGGAAACGAGTGTTGCGTCTACCTACCGATGAGCTATCAGTGGTGTCAGCGTCGAGCAGTTGGTCGCCGACTGGCTTTTTAAACGGCACAAGATGACGCCCCTGCATGAATTCAATATAGTCATTGAAGAAGTAACAGGGTCCAGTTTGAAACCCCAAGAAGCCCATTAAATAGCTGCAGTAGGCAAGGAACGACGGCAGTTTATCCACTTTGTGCTTCCTGTGATCATCGTTAGTTAGTTCACTATCTGGCTTCTGACCTTAACACACTTTAATGATACAAGTACCATATAATAACCCTAAATGAACTAAATAAGGGTGTTGGGAAATTAGACAATCAAATTAGACGACCCGAATTTAGACAATAAATTTAGACAATAAATTGCGAGCAAATTGCGAGAAAATTATTTACAGACTTAAATTTTTTTTCAGTTGAGTTACCACTGGTTATCCAACCGCACATCGCGTTTTAATGTCACAGTTGTTTTATTTATGCATTTCAAAACTTTTCTGATAAAATGTTTTTCAATAAATTTATTATAATTCTAATCGGTTATGTGATTATTAACTTTTTACTTTAGTTTAACTTCATTCTAAACCAAAAAATGGTGGCCTAGTTCTTATCGTCTTAATTCACAGAAAGGTATCTTCTGAAATTAATCATTAAATGCCATCCAACGTTTCAATCTTGGAGCTTCAGAGAAAAAATATATATTTATTTCATGGTTACACTTTTTTGAAACAAACTGATCCAGAATACAAAAATGAAAGAAAGTTAATCAATTTTTTTACGCAATTTTATTGTTCTGGCTCTTTTTCAAACTATGAAGCATGTCGCGTTTTTTTTCACGCCCCTTGCACGTTTGTTATTGGAGAACTACAATTGCTTTCCATTTCTCAAATGAATTTGAAGAGAAACAAAAAATCAAAACGCGGAATGAAAAGTTAAGAAGTAAAACATTTTAAAACTTTTCGTAATTATTGTCAAAAAGCAAACAAAGCTAACTTTAAATTTTATGCCCATAAATCTCATTGAATTTCACAAACAATTAATGACTGCTGATTTTTCGATAAAATTAACCCAAATTGAGAAAACCTCATCAATAGGTAAAAATTGTAATTAGCTGGGAAATCTTATAATTAAATTCCATTTCCGAAATAAAAAGTCTATCACGTTTTTCATGACCCTTACATTTTCCTGTTCAATGACAAAAGAAATAAAGTGAATTCAAATAAATCAAAATTCAAACCGCGAAAAAAAATCAAAATTGAGCATGAACAAAACTTACTTAAAACTTTTTTATGATAGAAAAAAATCACCAAGACCTATATAAGAGTACTCACTATGTTCAGTAACCTTAAACATTATTTGTAAAACCTAACGTCGAAAAAAAATGAAAAAAAAAGGTAGAAAAACTACATTTTATAATACTTTCATAAGTTTGTCTCGAATCAAGTTTAATTTGAGGGAAACAGTCGTGAAAAAAAAACAATCGCTAGCATTAAATGAACTTTCAAAAAAATTTCGAGCGAATAATAAGCCGGCAATTTGTGGTCGGACGCCAGTTGAACCGCAGACAAAATTGTTATGAAAAAATTTTAAGGAAGGAAGTAAATGAAGTCCTGTTTTCAACTAGAAACTACCGCCTTTGGGAAACATAGAAAAAAAAACACTTTCTCGAACAACACAATATAAGGCGAGAACCACATAAAAATTTAAAGCAAAAGCAAATAACGATTTTATACAGAATTAGGGTTGATTAAGTTACAAATTACAGGAATTAACTGCAACTATTTTTAATTGAAGTGGTATAATATATCATTGCTGGCTATTGTCAATCAGAATATAAATATGTTTTCGATGTATTGTATTTTGCTTGACTGATGTCGTGTTTGGCTGAATGTTACAATGACTTCAACTCAGGGATGCGATTCATGATGGAGAGTCTGAACAAAGCTTTGAATAAGGTGAGTACTCAATCATAATAATTCTTTACAGAGCTCTTAGTTATCATGGCTTTCCCTATTTTTGTACTGTGTCTCACAATTACAGCTCTCTCTCTTGTTTGCATTAGACGAATGCAAAATAGCATTTACATTATCTAGCATTGACCTTAATTTTTTAGTAGCTCATTGGTCCAATTATGTTTGAGGTTGCAAATGCGTTGCGCCCGAATTTGAAGTTTACGATTGAGCATGAGGTGAACGGCAAGATCCCGTTTCTGGACATGATGATTGAGCGCGGAGATAACTGTGTGTCCACAAGTTGGTACCACAAACCCACGGATACCGGCCTTTATCTGTCCTATCACGCATGTGCACCAGTCAAAAACAAGCGGAATATTGTCGAGGGCACTGTTCATAAGATACATCACGCCATGTCTGATTGGGTTACTTTCGATAATGGAATACAGAAACTCAAGGAAGACTTGGCTAAGAACCAGTACCCGCCATCGTTCGTAGATCCCATCATTTCACGGACGATTGAGAAGATACGGCAGAATCCCTCGAATGGTGAACTTGAGAGTCATGTCGCTTCCCGCCTGACTGATCACAATGAGCGACCCGTCATGGTGTTACCTTACCGTGGTAGCATCTCTGATCAGTTTGGCAAGAGGCTCAAAAAGATTCAAGATGTGAGCGTAATTTTCACCACCAGGAAGCCGAAAACTCTCATGCCTTCTCTCAAAGCGCCGGTTGCTGCAGAGCTAAGAAGTCGTGTGGTGTATAAAATTCGTTGTTCGGGCTAAAACGCCCGCTACGTCGGGCAAACAGTCCGCCACTTCTGCACACGATTGAAGGAGCATCTGAAGACAACGCACCTGTTGGAGAGCACCTTACTGGCTGCGAAGGAGTCACCAGATACGAAACAAAGATCCTTGCCCAGGCACCTGACCTGATCACTCTTTTGACATTGGAAGCGTTGCATATACAGCGTAGGCAACCACAGCTGAACATCCGAGAGGAATATCGGCAAAGAACTCTGACTATCCGGTTGTGAACACGGCCCGGGGAGTCTGGCCGAAGGCTGGCTACCGCGGGTCGTGTCTCCCTGTTCTATTTTCTGTATGTTGCATACTAGTATGTTTCAGTGTCTGATGATGCATACTAGTTATGCGAAAAGCTTCACAATTCAGTTTTGAACATTGATTCCAGTTTTCAACACGCAATAGAAAATAGTAGTTGCGTAGCTTTTCGCTACAAGTGGAAACTGCTTAACTCTTAAACAGAATCCCCGCTGTGGCGATAAAGCCGGCAAAACGCAGATGAACAATCGACCTTTTTTCATACGAAAAATTTTGCCAAAAGAAGTCCAAGCAGAATTCGAACTCACAACCTTTATCATACCACTCATAGACATTTCCCGCAGACCAAAAGTGCTAAAGAATGTGTGAAGTTGCAATTCATACACAGAGGTGAAGCTGCACTTCGTAAACACAAGAGATAACACGGCAAGAACTAGCTCTAAAAAGGTTCAAAAATGATGAAATTTGACAATCAGAAAGCGGGAATTTCGACTGATGTTGTTATCGAACCCCCAACCTGAATATTACGTCTGACGTCGTTGCACCAGCGTCATGGCCATTTGACAATCGGCAAATACTAGGCAGCAAAATAGCAGAAATGAAAGATGCGGTAACTAAGCCGACAAAAACTAGCAGACGAACTATCCACCAATCTTTTTTCAACAGAAAACTATTGCTTAAAAAAACAGAACCAGGCTGCATTTGAACTCAAGACTTTGTTGTCAAGGTCATTTGGCAATCAGAAAAAACTAGCCAGCAATATAGCAGATGCGAAAGAAGCTATTTATTTGCCAATTCTAAAAACTAAACATTTGATATGTACCAGAGTCGAACCCCTGATCTAAAGAATCAGAATATCACGTACTCGGTCCTGCGCCATGGTCGCTTGTAATACGAAGAAACATTAGTTGTATTTGCAAAGTGCAGCTTCGCCTCTGTGTTGACGATTTTCAAGCGACCATCGACTTTGGTAAATATCAAATATTTAGTTTTTAGAATTGGCAATTAAATAGCTTCTTTCGCATCTGCTATATTGCTGGCTAGTGTTTTCTGATTGCCAACTGACCATGACAACAAAGTTTTGAGTTCGAATCCAGCCTGGTTCTGTTTTTTTAAGCAAAAGTTTTTCGCTCGAAAAAAGATACTGGATAGTTCGTCTGCTAGTTTTTGTCGGCTTAGTTACCACATCTTTCGTTTCTGCTATTTTGCTGCCTAATATTTGCCGATTGTCAAATGGCCATGACGCTGGTGCGACGACGTCAGAAGTAATATTCAGATTGGAGGTTCGATTACGACACAAGTCGAAATTCCCGCTTTCTGATTGTCAAATTTTGTCATTTTTGAACCTTTTTAGAGCTAGTTCTTGCCGTGTTATCTCTTGTGTTTACGAAAGGCAGCTTCACCTCTGTGTATGAATTCCAACTTCACACTTTCTTTAGCACTTTTGGTCTGCGCGAAATGTCTATGAGTGGTATGATAAAGGTTGTGAGTTCGAATTCTGCTCGGACTTCTTTTGGCAAAATTTTTCGTATGAAAAAAGAGGTCGATTGTTCATCTGCTTTTTTGTCGGCTTTTTCTGCCACAGCGCGATTCTATTTGTCAGTTAAGATGATCCGGTGCAGCATTGCAGAGATCGAGACGGCTCAATAAGGGAAGGCATACAAGTTTTAAAATTAAAAACACTTTTTTTTCTGTTTCAGAACGTGTTTTTTGTCTTGTTTTAAAACATTCCGAACCCTGATAACTGCCAATGCAATGCCAGCAAAAGTAACACCAAATGAGCGCTTTTATTTGCGAGTTGGATGGGGTGGACTTCGTAATTTGACACTACGCTCGCTGGCTTTTGTACTCAAGTAAATGTTCGAAATTATTCGATGATTATGTTAGACGCTGTACACCAGGAAAAATTATGCTCTGACTTGATAACGCTTGATAATCACAAACGTAAATAACACAAACTGAAATTTCTATCAACACCGTAATGTAAGCTTTAGGCATGCTTCGAACTCTTTCTCGGTTCAGCCACTTGTCACTTCTCAGTTACCTCAAATCGTACCACGGGCTTTTCCATCATAGCATCCTGGCCTCTTTCCCATCATAGCATCCTGGCAGATTATAGCCACACAATAGTAAAATCACATTATTCGGGCTATAACTTTTTTGTTAATAAGCTAGGGTGTTATAGTGGGGGAAAAAGTTATAGTGGGGAAAAGGCTCTTTACTATAGGGAACTTGTTGACACAAAAAAAGTCTTGTAGTTCCCGATTATACAAAACGCTTACTCCGGGAGAATATACAAGCGCGCTTACTCCGGGAGAATATACGAGCGAAATTCGAAAAAACAACAGCTTAAGACGCATTGCAAAAAAAAAAGACTAGATACGTATTGTGTAGTTACCCTCGTGTAGTTACGGTCCGTGCAAATCATAAGCATTCTGCTGAAAATTCTTTTTAAAAACCGCTAAAAGAAAGGTTCATTTTTTACCATAACAAAACATGCACAACACAACATGCAAAACAGCCTTTACAAAACAACATGCATAGTTCTAAAAAAATTACCGTCACAGTAAGCCCATCCAATTATTGAGACCTTTTGAGTCCAAATCATAAGCGGGCCAGTTATGTCGAGTTTATAAGACCCATAGTCAAAGACCTGGCGATACATATGACTCAACGACAAATAAAGCATTGCACAGCCTAGAAGCACTCTAAAATCAAACAAGATTATGAAACTGGCTTCTAAAACGGATCAATATTGTGATTGTTACGTATTTTGCATAAATTTACCTTCCAACAGCTTCTGACTTTCCGTAAATCATAAGCACCGGGTACGCCACCACTGTCGGTATTAAAACATGGAATATTTGCCTAAAATCAGAAATTTTTTTATTCTTTGTTAGACCAAAACGTGAAACTAATCAATTATTTATACATACCATCGAAAGCAAACTACTCCGAACATTAATCCAATCAATAAACAAAAGAGATGTCTTGCGGATTCCCCGACTCTTGAAGCTGGTAAACCATATTGGAGCAAAAATGCAAAAGGTACTGATACTATTTGAGTCATCAGAAACAAAGCCTGATCAATAGGCAACCCTGTCAAAGCCATCGTATACTCTTCAAAGGAGTCAAGATACGAGCGCTCATGATTACCATACAACGAATCCAAAGGATTGTCCGCCATCTCATTCATTAGATTATAAGGCAACTATTCTATATCATACAAATCTGTAAGTTGAAAAACTATATCCCTCATAATGCTCTAATAAAAATTATAATAATAATCATAATAAATTGTTTCCAGAATAAGTATAAGCATAATAAGTCTGATGATATAATCATGATGTAATTTTGGCGCAAATTTCAAATTTGCAAACTTCTGATTGGTTGAATTTGTCTTAGGGTATTTTTATGATCGATGATCATTTTATAAAATTTTAATGCGTTAAACCTGATGATGCACAAATGTGCGAAAACGTTCGTAATTACATTTTGTAAATACTTCAAAAACATTATAAATATACTTCAAATTAAAATGGGCCCTTCCGTCATGCGACGGTACGTGCACAGGTTAGATAGAGCCGTACCAACGCTATATAAATACATCGGCAAAATTTTATGAATCAATCAGGTCGATTATAATGCATCCAGAGAATTGTCAATTAAAATCTACACTCCTCGATGATAGCACTGATAGAATTGTCTATGTTGGATGTTTTTCTAAGATTTTTGCACCGCCTTAGGCAGAGGATTGCACTCCTCAGAAGTGCACAACTTATTTTTGTTCTTATAAAAAGTTTATTGTGTCCGAGTATGATTCGTCCCGTTTTTCGCTTAGTTTCTCTGCTAGTTTCTGGACGGTTTTTGTAGAGCCTGGTGCTGCTCCTCCGGTACACGCAAAAATTAAGGGAACAAAGCTGCTGTGTTCCACATCCAGAATTCTTTGTTGGTATTTTAATGATTTGACACTCATGATATTTGTAGGCAACAGATATAGTTTAAGGGCAGGATTTAGCATGGGTGTTGGAAAGTTTTACGTCGAACAAGTTTCGGCTGAATCCACTTCCCCAGAGTGTATTTGCCTTGATGTCAAGTCGAGCGTCATCTTCAGTTGTGGTTGTTTTGTTGTGAAAGCTTCCGCCTTCCAACGATTGAAGTTTTGGCTCTCTTTCAACATCATGGCATACTTTGTCCAGGAGTGTCGCAAAGGTATCGCGAATTTCATTGTGTCCTAGGTGAGTCTATACACCTTTGGGACAGTGTGGAGAGTCGGTCAGTGTGAACGGTTGTCCACATGGGCATGTATGTGGAGTGTTTGGTGGTTCCCATCGATACCTCAGATGTTATCCATCTTTAAACTCTGATTTGTCAATGGGAAATTGTATTTTTTAAGAGTGGCACGCTTAGCCAATTCGATGCTCCTTTTTGTGACGCTAGATTTATTGTCAGTTTTTTTCTGAAGAGCAATTTTCCACAATTTTAGCCTTTTTTGAGAGTGCGATGTTCTGTCTCTCAATTTTGATTTTTCTATTTATCAGAGTTTGTTCCGTTTCAGCTATTTCTGGATCACTGTTTTCTAATGGATCACAAATGGCTCGTGACCACTCATAATTTCTGAAAAAGTCCGTGTTACGGAGAAGGTCTCATCCTCCCATTCTGCAAAAAGGCTGCGATCTTCATCGGTTATATGGTTTTTACCAGTAATACTAGGAAGTAGCTGCTGTCTTACGTTTTTCTCGATTTCATCCGTTTTCTTGAATGCTTCCGGAGTTGTTCTGGTTAGAAAGTTCAATTTATTTTGAACTCCCTTGTATAGCAGGAGTATGCATTTTGTGGTGGTGTTTTAGCTATTTTGGAAAGCTTTTCAGTTAGGGTAGCTGTCTTTTCAAATTCGCTTTCCATGTGTTTATCGCATGCTGATGGTGTTCCTATACCCAATCCAAGGTCTCCAAAACCATTTACCATTGTACTATTTGTGCCTTCGAATACATTTATGGCGCTTTCCCGACAGTTTTTCTTCACTATGAGTTGACACTTGGAAGGCTTTTTTTTGTATCCGAAAGCCTTTCCGTGCACATCCATCCAGGTTGTCCAGTATTGCGCGGAGACTATTAAGATCACCTGCAGCGCTTTTGTCATCTGCGTACAGTTTTTGGGTGACATTTGGTTTTTGTAGGAGCTCAATCAGTGGGATTATCCCAATTCTGTACATAGCCATTGCGAGGGGATCACCTGGCGTTGTGCCTTCGGTAGAAATCAAAACCGTGTTATTGACATACAAATTGAGGGATGTTTGTATGAGTTGGATGATGTAAACATCCCCCAGCATGATGTAGTGCCGGACAAAGGATTTCTACATTTTTAGAGCAATTTTTTCCGATATTTTTGAGGTCTGATTTTATACATTGGGTGATTGTTTTGCCAATTAACCTTCTCAGAACCTCGCCTATACCAATGGGCCGTACCCCTGGATTTTTGTCCAGAGGTATCAGGCGACACAAGTTGTACGCCGATAGGTTTTCACGGGGGACAAATTTACTTGCTTTTTTATAGGATAGCTCAGCAAAGCTCAATGGATGTCTGGTTGAAGTGAGTTAATATCCTTCTCCATTTGCACGCATCTAGACCTGAGGTACCGTGGCTTCCGTGCGTTTTCAGGGTTGATTTTCGAACTGTCTTGGCGTTTATTTGTTCGAACCCAGAGGGGTGGTATGGCATTGTGTGTTCACTCACTTCAGTTATATTGTTAGTGTTCGCTGTCTTGGCTTGGGGGTGTTTTCTTTCAGTATACTAAGGGCTGTTTTTTCTTCAATGAATTAGTTTAGGGGAAGTGCTCCTTTTGTTTTCTTGTCTGAAAGGCAGCTAATGACGGCAGATATTTTGCCTGTACTCATTACTTTATCGAATTGCTTACCTTTCTCGTTTACTTCGCACTTCTTCTGTTTTGGATGTCTAATTTGGACAGTTTTCGCTTCAAGGAAAAGTTCGTCTAGTAGGCCTTGCTGCAATAATAAATATATATTAATATCTTCTTTTTGCAAAACTAGCAGGTTAGAGAGTATCATGGTTTCCGAAATTGTGATGGTCACATTGGTAAGTCATTGAAACCAAATAATGATACGTATTTCTTCTCTTCCAAGTATTAATTCTCTTCCACCTGCACATTACTTCTCTTCCAAGATATATCCTGCACTCGTGCTTCATCTTTTCTCTCAGTCAAAAAAAAAACTTATTGGAAATTAAAAACAAAAAAAAATCGAGATGACTGGGACTCGAAACAGACACCTACACGTCTAGAAATCCAAAATTCTTCGAAAGTAATGAATCAATTTTTTTAAATTCAGTATATCAGAGGGTCAGAAGTTATTATGGCTACTGGCAGTGAGTCTACTGAAAGAGTAAAAATTAATTGGCACAACGTGGTGAACAACATCATTAACTACCACAGAACGAACAATTACATAACCGCCCAGCTTATGACGAGGATCTCACAAGCTACTTGAAGTCGAAGCAGCAGCACATTTTGGCAATCGTCTAATGCAGACGAACAACTATCTTCTGCAGTACTCTCGTCTGGCATTACCTCTTCCAAGAGGAGAAGGCAAACAGGTAAGGTGGGACCCCTGATGAAGAACGGGAAGATGCTTGAGGACAAACAAGAGACTTCAGACAGGCTGAACACCTATTTTTAGTCAGTTTTTGATGCCGAAGAGTTTGAAATAACACTAGTAGCAAAAAAATTTCGTGGTAGCCAAAAATACAAAACTCTTGCTTTATCTGTTCTCTCAGTCAAGAAAAATTATTGTGGAACTTAAAAACAAAAAGAAAATCGAGATGGTTGGGACTCAAAACTAACACCTGCACATCTAGAAGTAAAAAATTCTTCAAAATTAATTATTTAATTCTTTGTTATTTTTCTTTAGTAAATCAGAAAGTCAAAAATTATCATGGTGAAAACCGAAGTTACATCACTAGTCCTTCATCATTTCATTAATTAGGGAAAGCAAAAGAAAGTATGAAATGAAATAATTGTTAACAAATTTCAATCTATTTTGTACACTTGTGGACAAAATTAAACGCAAATTCTAGATTTTACCCAGTAAACTGCCTTTTTTCAATGTAAATTTTGGATAACATTTCCTTCGAAATTCAGTAAAATTTATACCTTGACCGAAATCAAATGATCAGAAAAACCATCTGTGAAAGTATCAATATTTGGTTTCAATGACTTACCAATGTAACCCGGGTCTGAAAATGCCAGTTTTCCTCATCTGCACTAAGTTTTTTACTTCATGTGAATATGTAAAAAACGTCTTGAGTTTAGTGAAAACTTCACTGATTGTTTCCCTTTTCTCGCTGAGAATGTTTCACGTTGCATGAACAGAAAGATTATTCGAGAAAGATTTCACCACGATGCAAAACTTAGTGCAGATGAGGAAAACTGGCTTTTTCAGGCCCAGATTACATTGGTAAGTCATTCAAACCAAATATTGATCTTTTCACAGAAGGTTGGTCTGATCATTTGCTATCGGTCAATGCAAAATTTTTACTGAATTTTGAAAGAATTGTTGTCCAAAATATATATTGAAAGCAGGCATTTTACAGAGTAAAATCCTGAATTTGCGCTTACGTTTGTCCACTAGTGTATGAGTATGTAGAAATTGGCCAATTTTTATTTGAGTTACAGATGTTTCATAATCTAGCAGCTACCTCGCTGTCTCAAAGCATAAACAGCCTCAACAAAAGCGCGAAAAAACAAAAAGAGTGCATTGCTACAGGTATTCCTGGCCTCTCCCTCAACAATTATGCGCCGAACCAAAACAAATACCTTCGCCATCAACGATGAGGGAAAAAATGATCAAGCACAACCTGGTAAACAACACCATTTACCAACAATGTGTCGAGAATCTCACGAGCTACTTGAAGTCGACAAACAGCACATAGAGGCGATCGTCTAATGCAGACGAACTACTATTGTCTACATTACCTCTTGTCTGGTTTTGATTCTCTTCCAAAAGGAAAAGGCAAACCGGCCAGCCAGCCTAACTTCGATGGTCTATAAATGCCTTGAGCGACCAATTCAAGAGAAATTGATTTCCCATTTGAAAGAAAATGATTTACTTGGATATAGTCAGACGGGTTTCATGAATTTGCTCAATTTCTTTGAATAAATCGACTGGAAACTTGATTTGAAGACACCAGGCGCTGGGCTGTATCTGGATTCTCCAAA